GCCACATGGGTAATAGCTGTGTTTTTTGGAAAATCTGAGCTGTGATAGAACAGTTTTAGCACATCTAGATTTTTTTTAAATGTGCCAAGTCAACATTTTTCTCACTTTAATTTTCCAAGACAACAGCTTTCCCTCCGTGCCCTCCAGGATCTAAATAATTGTGATAAAAGTAATTTCCAAGTGGAATGTAAATTCTATAATTTTTTAAAAAACTATAATAGAGCATACAATAAACTCTAGTCACTAAAAAAATTAGAAAGAAATAGATTATTTTCTTCATCATTTATGGGGGGAATATTAGTGTTTATTTCTGAGACTAAAATTCAAGAAAAATATATAAAGTGTTTATTTAAACACATAAGAATGGCCACTAATGGAATGGTAAGTTTTATCACTTCTAAATTATTAGGAGAGGAATTAAAGAAAACTCATCCCATGTAACAAAATGTAGGAAACAAAGAAATCACAATTACAGAGAGAGAGAGAGATGGAGATGTAAGAAAAGGAAAAACAAACATAACTTACAAGAATTAATGTAAGTTCATCTTTTGAAATAGAAGGTATCTTTAGGTGAGGTCATAAATAAAATGCAGTAATACCTGTCTGCAGGTAGATAAGTAAAACATGCTGACTCTTTCAGTTAAAGAAGGTTGATAAAGCAAAGACATACTAGGCAAATACAAGTAGAAAATGAAACCAGGGCTTGCAATATAGATCAAATAAAAATAGCCCACGGTACAAAGTGTGAAACAGAGCCAAATTTGTGAAGGGGGCAATCCATACACATCTTTTTTCATTAAAACCTATCATGTGAAAATACTGGAAATATAAGAAAACAGATAAACATAATGAAATTGTTCCACTCTCAAGCCAGATTGGCAAAAAATCAAGCCTGGCATGAAGGTGAGGATATTGGCATATTGCTGGGAGGGTATAAGGGGTAGAAGTTTGGCAGGTCTTACAAAATTCACACTGTGCCTGTCCCACAGAGTCCTGCTACCAATTCCAAGAATATATGTTAATCAAAACCTATATGGAATCACTATTTATAGCAGCTCCAAAATATGAAAGCATTATCTCACTTATATATGGAATGTTAAACACACACACTCATAGGAAAAAAAGAAAAGATCAGAGGCAAAGGGTGGGAGGTAGGGGAATTGGAAGAATGGGGTCAAAATGTACGAAACACCATTTATAAGATACAAAAGTTCTGGGAATATCGTGCACCATGAAGACTATAGCAAACACTGCTGTGTGGTACATTTGAAAGTTGCTGAGAGAGTAGATCCTAAAAGTTCTCATCACAAGGGGGAAAAAAACCTTTTTTTTTTGTATCTAGATGAAATGATGGATATTAACTGAACTTATTGTGGTGATCATTTCACAATTACATAAGTCACTTCATTACACTGTACACTTTAAACGTATACGGTGCTGCATGTCAGTTATGTCTCAATAAAACCAAGAAGAAAAAAAAGAAAAAGAAAACAATCTAAGTATTTAATAATAGGTGTATAGCTTAAATAATGTGTGCTGCATTCCTAGGATAGACTAGCACAGTGAAGAGAAACAAGCTATAGAAAAGTGCCTGGGTGGATCTCAGTAATGTCATGGTGAGTAAAAAAAAGCAGGTTGCAGAAAATGTAGTATGACTGCTGTATGTATATATAAAAATATAATTTAAATAACATATAATTTAAAACTAAATCAGTGTTTGCTGAAGTATACTCAATATTGTCCATATCATTTATTAAACTTTTCCTCAAAAATATGGGAAAATATATTTCCTGCATATATATATCTGATATTAGTCTCTATCTCTAATGTATAAATGGGCTTTAAGTCTAATAAGAAAAAGCCAAATCCCCCAAGAGAAAAATTAGCAGTCATGAACACCTAATTCACAGAAGAAAAACTCTCAGATCATCAGGAAAATTTAGTGATGTTTTTACTCAACAAATATATCCTGAACATCTTCTGTGTACAAGTATGTTCCACGCAAGGGGATACATGGGCAAACAAAACAAGGAAAAATCTCTGGCCTCATGGAGCTGGCATTCCAATGAGGTAGCAGGGGGCGAAAATAAGCTAATAAGCTACCTACATAAATGGATACAGAAGTTGTATGTTAGGAGGTAGAAAGTTGTGTAGAGGAGGACAATGGGAAAGGGGCTGTGGGGGTGGGGGTGGGAGGAAGGTGTCACTGAGAGCATGGGTCTGAAGGGAACATGGCCACTGTTTGAGAGTAGTTTGGAAGCAAGGTCGGAGGATAATGAAATGGGCACAGAAGGACTTTGGCCTTTACCGGAAGTGAGGTGAGATAGGAAGTAGTTGAAAAATGGGAAGTTTGAATACAATGAAATCTGATTTAAGTCTTTACAGAATAACTCTGATTGCTTTGCTGAAAATGTACTCTCCAGAGTGTAAGCAAGACATACTCATACTTAAACTCTATGGAATTTGGTTACACAGATCAGAGGACTTGAAAGGTGCACACCCCCTCATTGAGCACTGACACTTAAGGAAAATTATCAAATATCTAAAAAATAAACATACATCCATATGTACATGTTTGCAGAAGTATTAGTAAATAATTGCAAGATGAAGGATATAATCTAAGTGTCCAACAATAAGGATTCATTTAAATAAATAATAAATGGATTATCATGAAATGATTTTTCAGGATGTTACAGAATAACACTTATTGATATGAAGTTAGCCAAATATAACATTAAAGGATAAAGCTCATAAGATAGCATATGTAGTACAGTTTTAAATAAATATATGCAGATAAAGTTTTGATATAAATACAGATATTCATGTCTATGTTTGTAGGTGTGTATAGAAGGGAAAAACCATATAATGTGCCAAATAATGAAGGAAGTGAGATTATAGAATGATTTTTTCTTTAATATTTATTTTTTTTTCTGCATCATCTTAACTTTTACAATGAGGGATAAGGATTTTAAAAATTAAACTACTTCAACTTTGAAGTAAAACAATCTGTGTGCATCATTTTTACTTGCCCTGTGACATATCTGAGTGGAAAGTGATTTTTGTAACAGGATGTTAAAATGGAAATCCAGCCAAAATGTTAAGTGGATCAAGACCAGATGTGAAAGTGTTATTCTAGATGGACGTACAAATTGTCACACTAGCTGCTGTCAGCTCCCACTGAGGGCATTAAAGGGTAAGATGTTGGCTAAAGACTGATTTTGTAGCTGTTAGGATGTCAGGAGTCATTGCCCCCATCAGCCCCAGTGGGAAGAATGAGTGGGGATGCCCCTCATCTCAAGCCCCGGGACAAAGATTTCAAGGGCTTTCTGGGAGTGCTTGACAGGAGTCACCTACTCCTGGGGACACAATGGATCATGAACTCCAGGCCTTGGAATGACAAGGGGCAAGAGACAGGCTCTCTAGTTATGGGTGGAGAAATTAAAGGGAAGTGGCTTTTATGTTCCGTGGTGTCCTTTCAGGGCAAAGAGTGCATGCAGCAATACTAGCTGGGGACACAGAAGAACAAGGTGGACAAAGAAGACAGTCACGCTTCTCTCACCCACAGAAGCTGGGGGAAAGGGGAAGACCTTAAGACTTTAAACCAGGCTTGAATTTTTGACTATTCCTTGGGATGGACATTCCATAAGTTGGGTCTCTGAATTACCTGAGTGACAAGCAAGACTGTGGATGCTGCTTGAGTTTTTATTCAGGGGCTGGGGAAGGATTCGCTCACACAGTAAACTTGAAACAATTAAAAAGAGAGTTTCATGACAATATGTATTATATTTGACCAATTTTGAGAATTAGCAATTTTGAAAATTACTAATATTGGTGGAATAATAAAATTCCCATGATAGATTATAGAAAGATGTGTTCTCAGATCGTCTCCTGGGTTCTTAATGTCTGTAGTAATATTAGCATCAGTCCACGCTTGGCTTTCTCCTTGGCCTTGGCCTTCATAAAGGGAACTTTAGAGGACGGAAATTGAATGCACAGCATCAGTGTTTACAGAGATCTCAGATTTTCTGTGTAAGATAATTCCTTAGGGATATCAGCTGGACTTGATGATCAGAAACTGAGGGTGGCATGGCTTAGTGCAATGGTGGTAATTATAAGGACACCCCCAGAACTAACCTTACAAAAAGTAATATTTGACAGTCTCATCCAGCAGATTCATTCAGCATCTGAAATATATAGTTTATTTTGAATTTCATGAGACTCAAATATCATATATTATGGAAAAATAACAAGAAGTGTCCTGGAAATCAGGACGATACTGGAGGGCTCTGAATGTCTTGATATTATCATAAGAGTTACTAATAATCCTGAAATAACTAAAGAAATGTGATTTTTCAATAGCAGTGCTGCTCTAGCCCTCTTCTCTCCCTCTGGCTCCCATCCCATAAATCTACTGCCCAAGGGGGCTTTCCCTGGCAGCAAGGATACTGAGTCCTCAGAAAAATGGTATTAAAAGGTAGTCATATTGTAGTTAAGGAAGATATTATAGTTTCCTCTCTCCCAGTGCCAAAATAATTGATGATGGTGAAATGTAGCAAAAGAGATGCCAAGAAGCCTTCAGTTTAGGTTAATAGAGTCTTTCAGTTGACAGAAGAATATGGATATAATTGAATGTGCCAGTGATTCACTCTTCATGCAATTCCTTTTAACCCAGTGGTGTTATTTGTATATCTAGATGTTTAGGTTCGTTTGATGTGTTATTTAGAAGGCTTTATTTTCCCCATTATTTAATAAAAATGAACAGTTACCAACTTTCTAAATGTATCTATTTTCTTATAATACCACTATGTTTGAATTTCAGTAAAAATGTTACCAATTATTTATTTTTGTCAAAAAATATAAAGATAGAAAATTATGACTGGAAAAAAGTGACAAAGACCAAGATGTTTTGATTTATAATGCTGTATTTTTATTTTTAGTGAGTGCCTCCAGTTAATAAGCAAGCAAGAAATGATTGATTTTTTTTTTTTTTTCCCTTTCAGCGGTTTACCTCTGCAAGAGAACAATGCAAAACAAGGCGAGGCTAGAATTGGCAGACTATGAAGCTGTAAGTACTAAGGACTTTCTGGCAAAGAAAGTCATAAAATGAACAGGAATAAGGCCTATGGTCATTTCTGGAGATTCTGTTGACTTTACACCCCTGGATTTTAAGGACCAGATTTCTAGATCAGGCATCATAATGGCTCAAATCCCTGACTTGCTTGCTTTGTCTCATCATTCACATTGGGGATGGTGAACTTCTAGATGCAAACTCACAGGAGAAGGGAGAAGCATGTCTTGCTAAACTTAAATGTAAAAACATTAAGTGTCCTATATATAGTGAAGACATCCAAACTTAGAGAAATAAAGAGCATTTACTTTGAGTAAATAATTTTTGCAAAACAGATAAAATTAATCTGATGTCATTTGTTCAGACAGTTGCTGTGTTGTGATTTACAAATGACTTTGAAGCACTGACTAGAAATGGTAGTAAGCTGCTGGGGGTTTACATTCTTGTCAGGAACGGGATAGACTGACTGAATTATTAGTAGAGATGTATTGCTTTCCTATTCCTCACTAAAATGGGCACAGAAAAATCCAATGGATTAGTCTTGAGCACTTTTTTTATACAAAGTAATTTTTAGTATTTTAGATGTTTACTTGTGGTCTCTAAAGTCCATTATTCATAAGATTAATATTTGTAATAAGTTTCCCTGTTTCCTCTGACTATTAATATGAAGATGAGCTACATTCAGTGAGCATGATTTATCATTCAGAACCAGAGTACACACTACTTTATAAATTCTGTAATTGCTTTCTTGATAAATTTATACAGTAGATAAATGAGAAATGAGTAGTCAGATGAGCACCAGAACATCTTCATCTGTGGTATGTTTTTCAGGAGAGCCTGGCCAGGCTGCAGAGAGCATTTGCTCGGAAGTGGGAGTTCATTTTTATGCAAGCAGAAGCACAAGCAAAGTGAGTCCTTGTGAGTCTTTTGGAAAATTTGTTCAAGTTGTGGCCTTTTGTCCAGAGAGGTGCTACAATTAACATTACTTATTATTCATTGTTACAATGTTGACAGAGTGGACAAGAAGAGAGACAAAATTGAAAGGAAGATCCTTGATAGCCAAGAGAGAGCATTCTGGGACGTCCACAGACCTGTGGTAAGCAAACGTGCAAATGTTATCTTCAGTTCATAATCTGAGCCTTTGGAAACTGAAGGATGCCTGAAAAAGTGAAAGAACAATGTGGTAGCCCTATCACTCTTCTCCAAATCTTGGTTAAGAAAATATTGCCACTTTTGTGTAAGATAACCAGAATGCAGTAGGGTAATGTGTAATTCATAAAGCTATGCATTTTTCCACCACAACATCACTCTTGGCATTTGAGATACTTGATACTTTTATACCCTTGAAAGAAACAAGACTGCAACAAAGCAGTCTTACGTAAACCATGTGACTCAGAGTAACAAATAATGAATGTCCTTGATTAATACCAGAAAGCTTTGTGTAAGGAATTCAACACTGGTTATGCGCATCGTAAGAAAACAGGTCTAATCTCACATGTTTCTTTCTATTTTGATAGTATGTGTTTGTCTTCTATGTATTTCTTTAAATACAGACAGGGCATTAGAGAATAATATTTACATAAATGTAGAATAAATACCAGGTTCCCAGCACGAGACAAATCAAGACTGATGAGAATTTTTTTTTTAATTTTTTTTTAAAGATTTTATTTATTTGACAGAGAGAGAGAGTGGGAGATGGAACACAAGCAGAAGGAATGGGAGGGGGAGAAGCAGGCTTCCCAGTGAGCAGGGAGCCCGACGTAGGGCTCAGGACCCTGAGATCATGACCTGAGCCAAAGGCAGACGCTTAATGACTGAGCCACCCAGGTTCCCCAAGCCTGATGAGAATATTTTAAAAACTTTCCTCTCACCTACCTTCAGGATCAAACAAAAATAGGTCTGCTTTCCAAAGATTTCTTTATATTTGTGTGTGTTTCAACTTCAAATAGCCATACAACTGTTAAATTCTATTTTCTCTGTTTGAATTCCCAAAAGATTAGAATTAGAATTAAATGGCTTCCCTGCTCAATATTCAGCTCAAGTTTTGTTGCTCGTGGTGAAAAAGAATTATGAGGTCATGTGCATAAATGTTGCAAGAATATGAAGTAGGATTTTTTCTTGTTTGTTTATTTTAAGCAATCGCTAGACACCAGTCAATACATTATGTTCCTGTGTTATCCACTTTATGCCTCTGGATATCTGGTGGCCCATCTCTAGCTTTGTTCAGCTTTGATGGCCAGCATCCTCCTGGCAACCTAAGAGGACTAGCTCCATGACTTCCCTGCACTGCCTACATTCATTCCATGGCAAATACGCAAGCTCACAGAGCATGTAAATCGATCCTATCTCAATACTCCTCTGCTCCATCCCCTATGAGTTACTCAGCTGGTCCCTGGCCCTCTGTGTGCTCCTATTGGAGGCAGAACCTGTTCAGTTGTTTTTGCTCTATCCAGTCCTCTGTGTCTGCAGCAAGGAGCATATATGAGTGCTCTCCAGGGGGTCCCCTGCTGCACCCCTCACTAGGCTTCCAATCAGAAAATCATCCTAAGGAGCACCCTGAGGGAGAAACCACCCTGAAGCCAAGGCCTCCATCTCCCTTATTGAACTTCTAGGTGCTGATGACAGCAGGTGCAGATGTTGAGGGAGCTAATCTGTGGGACCTCTTAGTATCAGTCTTTTACTTCTGAGCTCTTTGTTTCCTCTACACTTTCCATTTTATTGAGGCTGTTCTTCGGGAATTTGGAATCTGTGCCCTAGGTTTAGGCAATAGGAGAACTACAACAGCATGGCCTTCCTTAATATTTACCAACTAGCTTACCTGGGATGATCTGATTGTGTTGAATCTCCTCTTCGAAGGGATTATTCTCTATTCACCTCTGAAACTTTTTGAATTCTCTGAGGAATAGCCTTTCTCCCCAAATTTTTAATGCATCAGTCCTGTAACCATCTGCCAGTGCAATGACTAACCACTGTTTCCATCAAAAGCCATATCTGAACCTCCTAAAACACAGCATGCCTGTGCAACGTCATGTAAAAATACCATTTATCCTGTATTACTATGTGCCAGACATTTTACTGCATGAAATGTTGATTAGAACATAGTCCTTGATTCCTAAAACTCACATCTAGTGGAAGCATTTTACGAACATGGTCACAAACACTTCAAGACAGATGTGACTGTACATTTGTTTTCTGGGGGAAAATACAGATGGTCATTGGATTTACATGGCTTGCCCATGTACACACAGCTAGGAGCGGCAGAGCCAAGCCTGAACCAACTATCTCCTACTCCACAGTTTGAGTGACAAAGGAAGGGGAGAAATGGGGAAGTAGAGGGGCTCCAGCTAAAGAAAGCAGCTGCAGCAAGAGAGATACCCTCACCGCACGCCTCCATTCTGCAAAAAGCAGGGATAAAGAGTTCGTAGTATGCACGTGTGATATAGCTGTGTTTATAGGTGTCTTGTTTTAGGTATATTTTACTTGTATATTTTACTCATGGCTCTTGCATATTCTTTTTTCGTTCATTCTGCTGTTTTCAAGAGCCCAGAGTTCAAGCCATCTTTCAAACATTGTAGGCCACACATCCCTGAACTAGGGGAACCCCACTGCCATATGGAGAACAGCATGGTCAGGTGTGGTTACACAATATGAACCCTTAGGGACCAGTTCCAATAGTGTTGCTGCAACAAGTACTATCTCCTATATTCAGATAGAATAATCTTGTGTAATCTATATACTATTTCAAGAACAATCTAAAATTCTTATAAAGATATAAATAAATCTAGTTGATATAAATTATTAGTACACAGAAGAGATCACAAAGAATGCCCTTATTTTTATTTTGGTTTTGAAAAGACTAATTATAAAAATACGAACTGACCGCTATTAAGTACAATCCTATTTCATAATAACATTTCAATAAAAAAAATATAACAGGGAACAGTTAATCCTCATGAAGCTTTTATTCATGGTGATCTGCTACATTGTATTGTTTGGTTTGCTTTGATTTCATCTGGTTTTACTCTGGCATTTATTTAATCAAAAATAGGGTGGAAGCCATTAGCTAGAAATGTGGTAGGGAAAGGCAAATCTCAGAAAGCAGCTCAGAGTCTTTAAAGTATATTTTTAAAAATTAATTTAAAATATTATAGCATATTACATGAATTTCCACTTGCAGATATAGAAAATGTATGTAATATGATTTTATTTTTTAAAAAACCATGAGGTCACTTAATACAGAGTGTAATCAATCTATTGCACTTAATACTGTTATGAAATAAATCTAGCTTCTCTGAACATGCCCATGTTTACTCCACGAAAAATAAATAAATAAAGTCATTAACACCAAGAAGGACTCTTCAGTTGTCAGGATTCCAGACAGAATTGTCAAAAACTAACTACTCAAGAAGATAGTGGGAGAAATACACCAAATTGTAGTAAATGTCAAAGGTAATTTGGAATTTGTGTTAATCTGTGTATTTAATGTTTCAATATTTTTATGAAGCCCCTCAAGGGCTAATGCATTCATAGTCTGTATTAATAGAATTTTAGGAACTAGTTTAATTGAAGTAAAAATTATGCTTGTCACAGTGCTAAGGAACTCAATTTTAGAGTTTTGTGCTCAGTTCTAGAAACCATACTTTAAAAAAAAAGTGTGGTTGAATTATAGTTGAGGTGGATAGTGAAGGGGCAAAGTCAAAAATAAGAAGTAAAGAAATTGTGAAATTATTAGAGATTAGCGGATAAGAGGACCCAAAAAAGATGTCTTCATATTTTGGAAATTTAATTAGGTAGAGTTAGAATGAGGCTTATTCTTTTACCCCATGTTGGATTCTGGGTGACCAATATGGAAACAACTGGAAAATAAAATCACACTATAAAAAAGAACTTATCAAACTCAACACCCAAAAAATAAAAAATCCAGTTAAGAAATGAGCAGAGGACAGTAATAGACATTTCTCCAAAGAAGACATACAAATGGCTAACAGACACATGAAAAAGTGTTCAACATCACTCAGCATCAGGGAATACAAATCAAAAACACATGAGATACCACCTCACACCAGTCAGAATGGCTAAAATTAACAACTCAGGAAACAACAGATGTTGGCAAGGATGCGGAGAAAGGGGAACCCTCCTACACTGTTGGTAGAAATGCAAGCTGGTACGGCCACTCTGGAAAACAGTATGGAGGTTCCTCAAAAAGTTAAAAATAGAACTATCCTATGACCCAACAATTGCACTACTAGGTATTTATCCATACAAAAATAGTTATTCAAAGGGGAAGATTTAAGATGGTAGAGTAAGGGGACCCTAAGTGTTTCTTGTCCCTTGAATACAACTAGATAGTTATCAAATCATTCCGAACACCTGAGAAATCAATCAGAGATCTGAGAAAATGAATGCTGAAAGTCTACAATTAGAAAAGGGACCACCGTTTGGAAGGTAGGAGGTGCAGAGACTTGAATCCAGGGTGATATAGCTAAGGATATGGCAGTGCGGAGGGAGCCTGCTTAAGGAGGCTACTGCAAGTATTATAAGCAGAGGAGTGCAAAATTGGAGCTTATAGTACTCTACCAAAGTGCTGTATGTCCCTGGCTTAAATGTGCTCAGGTGAAGCAGGGTGGAATCCCAGGTGTGACAGTGTGGTCTCAGGATCCCTGGGGGTCACAAGAAGAATGGATGGAGCCTGAATGCAGCAGAGTTCCCAGGCATAGGATCGGGGAAGCCAGCTGAGAACAGAGAGTCTAGGTGCAAGCTTTCTGCTCTGTGTTGCCATAAACTGTGAACCACTGCACAGTGGTGCAACCACTTTCCTGGAGGGAGCCAGCTAAAGGCAGAAGTGTGGAAAGACCCACCCTCTTACCCCGGAGGAAGAGCATGTGTCCACGCTGCAAGAGTCTATAAAATTTGGAGTTCGGGAATTCTGTTGTGCCTGAGATTAAAACGCTTGGTCACAGAACAGAGAGTTCTGTTGGAAACTGGGGAGGCAAAAGTGATTGATTGTTTTCCTGTGAGGGCTCACTTAACAGTGGGGGGAGCAAATTTTCAGCTTCCAGGGCTAGAGAGTGGGGCACAGCCATATTCATCTCTCCC